TGGATTTCTGTGAATCTGGCATCAAGTAGTTTAATCTTAAAAAAAAATTATGGGACAGTAAATACTATATCTCAACTAGTCATCACCATTGTTACATCATTTAACATTTCATATTGTTTATGTGACAATGCTTCATATATGTTGAGGGCTTATAAAGATTGTCTATCTCCAGTTTATGTAATATTTATAATTTAATTGGGAAACTTGGATAAAATATGAGATTCAAAGTTTTATATCAAATATAAAGAAAGCATTTACTTTTTCTGGTAGTATAAAGAGAAGATGGTTAAGGCACTTTTCCTTAAATTCTATTAACAATTCAAATGATAAATTGGATGTAGATCCAAGACTTCCTCCTTTACCCATAAAACAAGAGGGAGTAGCTGGTTTAATTTTGTTTTTGGCCAGAACCTTACTTTCATCACTTTATTTCATTTTTCACAATTTGTTGATAATCCAAAATGTATAAAAAATTATCAAAAATGCTTAAAAAATGAAAGGTTCTTTATATTACTCTATTAATTAAATTTATCACTCTGAATTCTAAGAGATAATTTTATTAAATTATTTGTTTATTTATTTATTTAAATATTGTATTAAAAATAATCTTTTTTTTTATTTCATAGGTTTGTACAAGACCTTGAATTTTTTAAAATTCGTAGCAAACCAATGGCTCCATCCACCATTGAAACTAGAAATTATAAATATTATTACACAATTGACAAAACAACAGATGAATTTAAAGCAATTTTCTCAGTTGCATATCAAACTTTCTTATGACAAAACATTCATAACCATTCTGCTTTGCTGTTCCAGGTAAGGCTAGAACATAAGGTATAAGGCTTTATATTGATTGTCAAATAAATCACTCCCATTCAAGCAGCATTAAAAAATTGATGATGAAGATGTTGCTGAAAGCATCATGAATGGATAAGAAGTCAAGGAGGTACTACACCATTAAAGTTTAAAAAATTTATTAATAAATAATGGAATTACTACAAAAGAAAATATAATTCTTCCAATGGCACATCACTGGCTTAATGTATACCTTTCAATAAAATTGTTAGGGTGTATATTATGATGTCCATGAAAAGCCAGATGTCATTGAATATAGAAGGAAATTTGTAGTTAATTATGAAAAATATATGATGATGAAACCTTAGAGCAAATCTTGGTCCTGATGAGAGGGAAATAATTCTAGTAAGTGCATCTTTTTATTCTAATGATGGAAAAAGGGGAGTTTAGGCAAAAAATGGCAAGCTACATTAAAGAAAAAGATAATGGTAGAAGTATCATGATAAGTGAATTTTTAACAGAAGATTATGTTTAAACCAAGATCAGATTCAAGATAATCCATATGTCCCTGAAGAAGCGAAAGAATTTTTGAAGCCAGATAAAAATCAAGTGGGTTATTGGACAAATGAGAATTTAGTAAATCAAATTGAATTGAAAGCAGTTCCTATTTTGAAGCTCTTTTTCCAAACTGCACTGCTCCTTTTGTATTTGACAATTCTAGAAGTCATGACTCTTATAAAGGAAATGCTCTTATTGCTAATAGGATAAATTTAGGTCCAGGTGGAAAACATGAGAAATACAACTTTTGGGCTGACAACAAATTACAACCTATGATCTCTGAAGATGGGGCACCAAAAGGAATGAGAGAAGTATTAGTTGAAAGGGAGCCGTGAAGAGATACTGGGGTTGTACTAAAAGATACATTATAAAAAAAACTGTGATTATACTTGGAGTGGATTTCTGAAGCCCTAAATTCGGTGGACCTAATTAAATTAGAAAATTTGCAAGGAAAACGTGGAGATATATAGGCATGGAAAATTGGTTAAATATGCCGTGAAGAAATATAAGCCACATAAGAGAACTTTTAAATATGTTATTCAGGAATTGAATGGCATAAAATAAATTTAATTTTCTTTATATTGATGTTTTATTCTTTTATATATATATATATATATATTATAACATTACAATCACACGTGACATGCCTCGCTAGCATTTATGTTATACATGAAAATTGAAATTAGCCAGCCAATCAAATATGGGCGAAGTATTTCTTTTAATTGGCTAATTTCAAATTCAATACAACAGTGATCAAGAATTTTGGGCTATTGGACATTTATAGATGACATGCATTTTAATGATAGTATCAAATTCATCGAACCTAATGAATTGAAGAATATTTATTGAGAAAAAGATTATTTGGCTGTTGATGTTAGAGATCAAGATTATATAGTGATTTTTATAAGCTTTGATTTTAATCTATATTGGGGTGATAATATTACCAAATAGTGTAAACAAGTCTTCTAATAAAATAAATGACAGTTTAGAATATCTGATTTCTGATTATAATTAACTTGATAATTAATTAAATTAATCAAAAAGTTTAGTTTTTTCCTTTTCAAAATTTAAATCAATCAACTGTAAATAGTTTCATGATTAGTTTGTACTTGTGCACTATCTCAAGCTTGTTGACCAAAATGTGCTAGAATTTATTCAAAAGGGGTAGCATTAAAACAAGTCAGAAAGTTTGGTTTTAAAGGGTGGGATCATTAGATGGCAAAAATAAATGGTCAAAACATTGAGTTAATGGAAAATTATAATCGTAAACATTGGATATTTGAATATGAGACGATTAATTAAGATTAAAATAAAATATTTTATTTTATTATTTATTATATCACTGAATATACAATTATTTACAAATAAAACATTGTAATTTTAATATTACTATCTTTAAAGATTTCTTTAACAGTTTCTATAACATAATCCAAATCCAATTTATCTAAACCTGCACCTATTCTAGGCATACTTAAACCAGTAACACCTTGATTTTCACATAAACTTTTCAATTCTTTTAAACTAGCTTCAAAATCTTGTTTTCTTGGCTTGTTATAATAATACATTTTTGTAATCATATAATAAATGTAACGATTTTCACGTAAAAGATAAGCAACTTGGCCAACTTTCTTATTTTGAGATTTTAATTCACCTATTCCACTATAAAGATTCTTAAACATCGTCGCGATACCTTTACCCATTCGTAAATCTTGAGATACACAATGAACCAATGAATCTGTTGAAGGAGCATCCTTAAACAAATCACCTTGTTTTTCTTCAAAGGAAAAATTAAAAGACGGTGATTCTGTTGTTTGTTCTAGAACTTGCATTTCTTATTGTTGTTATTATTATTATTGTGTCGTTATTACTGTTATTAATTTTTTGATTAAAAATGTTCCTCAACAAAATTTGTGCGCACAAAAAATGATAGCAAATTTTGAATTAATGAATTTGATTGGACAGGATTGTTGATCATTTTTTATTAATTAGCAAATCAACTTTGCAAAAATTATTTACGATTACATTTTCATTTAATTCCATGCTTACATTTTTTTGTAACCAGCAGCAAAATCAACAAAACCAAAATTGATTAAAGTGAAAGGCACCAAAAATCAGTAATAACATTATCCAAGAAAAATTTTTTGGTTGAGTGGTGTCTGCATTAATTCAATCTAAGTGAGAAAGTAAAGGATCTGACAATTTCTCAGTTTCATGAATAGAAGTAGTACCAATAAGAATGAATGAACTTTGATAAATTTACATCCTTATAAATAATTTAGTATTTTGATGAGAATCAAAAATTGGTAATAAAGCTTCTTCCAAGGCTTTATTTAACCAATTAACAGTTCAAAAGTTAAAAAAAGATTTCAACCAGTTAAATTGCCAACATTGCAATTTGCTGATTTAGCAGATTGTTGTTGACCTGAAGTATCCTGCTCAATTAATTCACTAACTGATGACTTATACAAAATGCATCTAAACGAATGCTTTTCCTATGAAAGATATTTTTCTGATTTAATGAGCTCTTTATGTTTATTCTGCTGATTCAATGATTTTCATTTTTTTTTTTCTGTTTTTTAGATTTAAATCCCAACATTTTTTCATCAAATCAAAATAGAATTCAGGAGTGTCTTTGATGATTTTAGGTCTTGCTCCCATGATCACCTGTGGTGAATTCCCACATAATCATCCAAGACTATACGAATATCTGATTCATTTGTATATTCCTACTTGATAACACTTCAGGTGCCAGATATGGAATTACTCCAAAGATCTCATTTGACTTCTCATTTTTATTTACTAATTGTTAAATCTTCCATAAATGAATTTATATAAAATGTATAAATTAATTATTTATAAAAAGAAAAAATTTAATTTAAAATTTAAACTTATCCTTGAACCTTTTTGATAAATAGTTATGTAACCTCCATTTGGGGGATATTCAAATGCCAACATATATTCATTTGTGCTTGAATCTTTGACGATCCCAAAGCAATCAATTTACTACTAGCTTTTATCAATAATTACAATTATAATTATAACTAATAAATACTATAACATTTATCATTCAAGTAATATCAATTAAAGTGATCGGTAAATTTTTATTCCTTCTTTAATGGGTAGTAAAAAAATAATAACAAATTTTTTGTTTCATCTGTTTCGTAACAAAACAATCTGTTGTCCCTCTGCGCCAGAAAAAAGTCTTTCTGAAAGAACTGACGAAGAATAATAATTAAAAATAAATTTTTTTTTTTAAATTATGATAAATAAGACGCATTTATCGAGGTGCCACCCAATCGTGTTCCGGACATGTGACCTAACATCTTTCGTTTTATATTCGTATTTTTATCAGTTATTATTTATTCTTTATCTATTTGTACCGTAAAGTATGCTTAGAGATTCGCCGAAGCTTTCTAGGTACAAGAAAGGGATAGTAAGCGGGATGGTTGTTAAATAAATTCGTTAATTAAATATAAAGGCTTGCAATTAATCAGAATGTGGCCAAAAAGTCAACTAAACTCATAAAACAATCAAGATTGATCAAAAAGCTACTCGCAATATAAAAATCGATTGTTTCGATTTCGATTACCTTATCATAGGTGATTTGATTACGCGTTTTGAAAAATCTTTATAGAATGCAAATAGAGATGTTCACTACAAAAGAGTACATTCCTAAACCATCAAATGTTGTTAAACATTTCCTTGGTAAGCCTGTATTTGACACAAGGAACATATATGATATATTAACTCACTGTTTTTGTGTGATCTTGATCTTGTAATTGAAAGTAATAATTACAAAAATATTTTGAAAATAAATTTACCTCAAAGGAAAATTACAAACAAGTTAAGTACGTGAATCTTTATTTACGAAAGAAATATATACATATAAAGATATCTTCATTGAATGATACACATTTAGAAAAAATTCCACAATGTTCTTTAGTACGTTTTCATACCATGACACAAAATCATAGTTCTGGATATGAAAAATGGTAACAAGGCAAAAAATAATATAAGGGACGTGAGAGAATGCAAAAGATGATATAAATATAAATAGTTATATACATGATCGTATTCTTTTTTTTGATTTATCTGCAAATATTCAGTAGGAACAAGTATGAAAACCACTATTTTATCATGATATTTTGAAAGAATACTTATATATTACTATTACTCTAGAATTTTTATTTGATAACAATTTATTTATTAATATAGGATGATGAGGATATTGATAGTGAATTTCACAATGCAGATATTATTCAAATTTATTTGAAAATAGACATTTGGATTATTGTGTTTCTGTGCCAGGAGAATCAACTTGGGTTAATTTAATTATAATAATGTGAATATTTATAATTGGATGTTTAATATTTTTATGCACTATTCAATGAAATAAATAAATATATAATTATAAAACTCTGAGTTTACACAAAGGAAATATTGACACAAGCTTAGAAGGTTGGTTTTTTTAAAGCAATTAAATATATAATAGCTGACATTTTTATAATAATAGAAATATTACCAACTATAATTATAATTATAATTATTTTATAAAGTAATAGAAATTTTAGAATCTACAGTAAACCCTAATTTGAATAATAGTGATGATGAAAAGATGTGTAGTGATGACAGGATGGGTAATAGTGAGATGAAAAAAGTTTTGCTAAATTTCCATTTCCAAATGAAAGTCATGTTGGAGCCATAATCAAAGTATTTACTATTGTAGTGCATTAGTTGCGAAATGAAAATTTTTGTGGACTAAAAAAAATTCTTTTGTTAGATTTATAAAATGAAGATCTATTAAAGGAAGAAGGACAACTTCCAAAACTTAAGCACGACAATCGTCTTGCTTGGGAATTTTTGCCTATCTGTTAGGAAGAATAAAATCATGGAATGAATTAACATTAATTGTTATCATGCGGTAATTGTTCTTTCTGTTGTGATGTTAAGTGTTAATCAGGGTTGGCCCGCCCGGGTCAGTTAAATAATATACACTTGCTTGTTGATCAATTTTTTCTAAAATCGCAAACTCACTGTACCTCAAAAATTCCAAATCATCAGTCTTTTCAAAGATAAACATACCGGAAAAGAAACCAGCGAGACTCTTGGTTTTCCAGTTGCAACTGTGGAAAGAACTATTCAAGTTTATGGAAAATCTGAAGCATCAATAAGTAAACAGACCCAAAGCACTTGGTGACAATGAAAAAAACGCTTTGAAGGAAATTATTGCCAACAATAATAGAGTTGCTGCTAGTGATATAAAAAAATCTGTAAATGAATCCACCGGTTTAAATGTTTCAGTTACAACAATTTATCGAAGTTTACATGAAATTGGTTTAAACTCATGAAAATGCAACATTAAAACCACATATCTACGAAATCCAGCGCCAAAATAAACTCGAATGGTGTATTAATCGACGAAGCTGGTCCATAAGACGGTGGAGAAGTGTCATGTGGAGTGACGAAATCCGCTTTACACTATTTGGCAATGATAAGCCTAGAGGTTGGAATCGTCCAAAAAATCCTTAGTCAACTACTAGTTGGTCAAAATTTCTTTTAGTTGACTAAATTTTTTTAATACTAGCGTGTAACCATTTGCTTCGCAAAATGGTCACACTCTAGTCATGGGAATAACATCCTATTTAATTAGAATATTCATTCTGTTTCATTATTATTGGAATTGATTATTAACTATTAATTATATATTTGTTATAATGTGCTTATTTATCATTATTATAACAATAATTTATTTAATTAAAGGATCAAACTTTTTGGTGATGTCTTGAAAATGAGTAATGAATTTGAGGAGATATTAAATGAAAAATTATTAAGAGATTTAACAAGAGCTTTTATTGATTTTTTTGAATCAATCCTCATTGAAAAATCAAAAAAAAATCCGAATGGTATTATAATTATTGTTGTTGTTGTTGTTGTTGTTAATCCTTCATTACAAATTTTTTTATTTTATTATTAGATTGTAATAGTAAAAATTTAAAGGATTATATGTTGAATTATATGGTATTCATTCATTCATTTATTCATTTGGTGCCTTTTTCTCTCAATAATAATAATTACTAACAATATTATAATCAATATTATTATTATAACTTCAGCCTGTCACAGAACCATTTTTAGTCAGTTTATGTCATCTTATAACTTTTGAAGATATGATAAGTTGTTCAAGAGCTGTTCAATTATGTAATAAAATGATAAAAAGTTTAATTCAAAATGAATCATTAAGAAATTTTGTTGGTAGAGAATTATTGATATCAGCATTACAGGTAAGATAGTATATCAACACTAATATTAATAATACCAATATTAAAGATCTTTAATAAATTTGTCTATAATTAATAGGCGTTAAATGATGGGCACCAAAAGGAGAACCATTCATTGATAATAGCATTAATTACAGAAATTTATTTATCGTTAAGACCAATCTCTTCTGTGCCATATGAAACATTTGGTCAAATATTAAATTTAGATCATGTTAAATTACAAGTAATTAAAATATTGAAAATATTTTATTTTAATCAATAGTCTATTGTTAATATTATTTATTTTAACTATTAGGATTTTGAAGCATCACTTGTACAAGGAATCGATTTAAAAGAGCAAAGAAATACGGTAAAAAAATTTCTGGGAGGTTTTACAGGAGTAAGAAGTCAATTTAATTTAATTTTAATTTACTATTATTAAATTCTCACCAAATAATTTAAATTTAAATTTTTATTAATAATTTAGTTGTCTAAAAATGACTTGTTTAAAGAAGTCACAATGACAGTCAAAAGTTCTTCATCATCTCATAGAACAATCATTGGCGATTATATAAAACCAAAATTAAATGTTCTAGATATAATTGATGATTCAAATGAGTCAACAACAGGATTGAAAGAGTTATTTGATTAGTTGTAATTAAAAATTCAATAATAAATATGATGACCGTTTTCTTGGTACATACCCCTTTGTGTCATGTGTGATTGATTATAGATAATCAAATCACTTTAGCCAGTAAATTTTATTTTGATGGCACATTATATAAAAATAATTTCGTATTGTTCTGCTCCCTAACACCCTATACCAGCCCAGCCCATGCACATTTATTGGTTGGTTATGGTTTAGAGGCACATTCACGTCAAATGACGCCATACACATTGAGATGCGCCAAATGCACGGGTACACCGTTTAAATTTTCTTGAATTTTTTAGTAGGACAATTTCTCGGATAATAACAATTCAAAGTGATTTTATTTGGTATAGATTGATAAAATTATCCCAAATTTTAGAATATGGTGCAGCTATTGGTACTAAAAAGACAACAATCTCCAAACTTGGGGAACAAAAATTTTTAATATATACATCAATTATAAGAAGAAAGGCAGGTCATTATTGGCCCAAAAATTTTCGGGTCTTTTATTTTTTCAAGTAGAAATGGGGGGTTTTTTTTGAATTCTTAAAATCTATAAAAGGCATAATTATTTTAAAATTAAATCGATTGTGGGGTAAACAAGCAGTGTAACGTAGATAATTGGTCTTTGTTGTAAAAGTTGTTTTGTAAACCATAAATGGAATCAATTCATATTGAAAATCATACATCTGTTTTAAAAAAAGCTTCAAGGCTCAAATTTTTTAGCGACTGGTTATAAAAAAATGTGTCTTTTTTATATTATTAAAAAAAGCCTTTATTCAGAGCAATATTTAATATTTGCTTCTTTGGGTATTTTTAATAATCCATTCTTTGAGTTTATTGACATGTTCATTTTTTCCTTTCTTTATTTTTCTTCTTTTGAGGTTTCCACTGTTAGTTCTATGATTGATTTTGAAGTTTTAGGATATATGCCTTTTGACTCCACACAGCTCCTGTAAAAGATGCCCTAGTACTAATTATCATTAATTAGCTTTCTAATATTGTTTATTTTCAAGAGCCAAACTCAAATCTCGGCTTACCAAATAGAACCCCAGAAACAATTAGTTGAAAAAAAAAAAAAGCTCAAATTCAAAAGAACAACAGCAAGCAAAAAGAAGAAAATGCACTCAATTTTATTTTGATTCAATTACCGCCATTTATCATGCTATTACTTTACTATTTGTTGAACAAAGTGAACTAAGCAACTAAGCAAAATATTAGGGTACTCTGTATAACCAACCAGTCACTAAATTTGCACCCTGAAACCTTTGTATGCCACATATAATATGTTACATTGTGCATTATACATTGTAGATTACATTATACATTGCATTAATAACATTTCATTATACAAATAATACTACTATGATGTAAATAGATAGATACTTGCACAAGAAACTGTGCACAAAATAACAAAATTCGTCATTATTATTTTTAATTGTTGTATAGATAAAATAACAATATAAAATTATTTAATACACGAGCACACAATCAATTATATTGTTAAATGGTTTGTTTGTTAATTCTACTAATTCTACGAAAATTTTCCATAAAAAATTAAAAAAATTGTTAATTCAAATCTTAATTTCTTTGTTGCCCAAATTTATATTTTAGTTTTTTGGTTGTTTGACATTTTTATTTACATTGTTTTTTTTTGATCAGCGCATTTTTTGAATGAAATAATGATTAATGTTAATTAATATAAGAATATAAAAATAATATGGTATTTTTAATTCTTAATCAAGTTTTTTTAAAAAATTGATCATATGCACAAAATTTATATATAAAAAAATAAATATATAGAGAATTGAAGTTTCCAATATTTTTTGTTTTTTTTAAATTTTTTCTTCAATGGATTAGTCTTTAATATATATATATATAATAATAATCGATTAATAAATAATAATAATAATAATAATAATAATAATAATATAAATGTACAATATTCAATTATTCAATTAAATCTTAACATTATTTATTATTATCATTATTATTATTTATTAATAGTTATCTATCTATCACACTTCTAAATTATCAAGGTAGATTATATTTATATAATAATAATATTATATTGTTATCCTTTGTAAACTAAATTCGATTAAATTTTAAAAAATCATTTAAAAAATAATTTCGTTGCATTTTTTTTTTTTTTCGAAAAATTTTATTATGACAAAAAAAATTTATATATTTTTTTTCAAAAAATTTTTTTTTTTTTAATTAACAGTTAGGTGGAATTTCTTCGATTTTAATCAATCAATCAATCAATCAATATTCACTCGCGTCAGCCAGCCAAGTTTTCTTGATTTGATAGTTTATTTCACCTTTAACTACGATTATTCATTCTTTAGAATCATCATTTTTTCCTTTCTATAGAAGAACAAACTTGTCATTGGTTGACCAGTGACTTCTTATAAATATAGCTATTAAAATACACTTTCTTTTAGATTTATTTTTCTTTCTCCCTACGTACACGTATTTATTATATTACCAAAAATTTCAACCTAGCTTTATAGATTAAAAAAAAATAAATTAAAAATAACATGTCGCATACAAGTGACGTGACTTTTTTAGGTGAGTTTTCAAACTTTTAAATTTAACGATTTAGTAATTTTTTTAATTTAATATTTAATATTTTTTTCTATATTTAAATAAAAGCTCGTGCGGTTTTTACAGTATGGACTTTTATTTGGTTCTTACAGCATGTCTGGAATATCGATCGTTTCAAAGCATTAAAATGGCGACGCATAAAAAAATTCGAATTGGTAAGATTTATTATTTTCTGTAGATATTTTTATTGATCACATGACTTAACGTGATTATTAATGAAATATAGAAATCAGCAATCACAATCTTATTATTATTGATGTTGCCATTACAAGCATTTTATGATATTTCATCTTCTGTAATAAAATACAGAGAAGGCTTTTTCTTGAATCCGTTGAACGGCGAAATTGTTTCCAAACCTCATACATTTTGGAGTGAGGAAAATAAAGCATTAATGTTATCCACGGATTATATTCTTTGTGCAAGTTTCAGTGTTCAAACGTAAGTAATTATTCCTTAATTCTTTTTCACAGTAAGAAAAAAAAATCAATTTTTAATTAATTTTAATTTTTTAAAAAAATAGATGTTTATTATTTTTGCTTCAATCATTTTGGAATTATCTTGCTAACAATCTTGCAAAGACTACATTCATGGGAAGTTTCGGTATGTTTACACAAATAAATATTATTTTTTCGATTCTTCTTGTTTCTCTTCAAATCTTACTCATATTTTTCTTTTATTTATTATTTATTACATTATTAGAATTTAAATCATATATTGTCTATTCAATCTTTAGCATCTCGATATTTCCAATCTTACAATATGTATTTCGTGAAAGCAATTTATTGACCGAAGTAGTTCCTCAATTAACCTATTCGATATTCATGATCCTTATTTGTATACTGGGTATAAGATCACACTGGCGTTTCACTAAATTATTGAGAGTCACTAAAAATTCTAGTACTGCACGAACCAGCATCGTTTCTAAGCTAACCTATTTTAGAGATATGAATCGTTATTTAACATTAGCTCTTTTCATTGGCTCTATTTCATTGGCTACATTAAGTATTGATGGTCTCACATCTGCGAAATGGTTAAATAGTCATAAATTATCATCCGATCTCTTAATATGTCATTTAAATTTCTCGATTTGGATAGTTTTTGTCACTTTAATCTTAATTTTTTATCCTTCTACAAGCACAACTAATGATCAAATTCAATCAACAACAAAAGCTTCAACTTCTGCCACTGCCACAGCCTCCTCTTCCTCTTCTTCTTCAAATAAAATATTAATGAAAAATGAAAAATCGTTAAACCCCTCAAAATGGATTCCAAAATCATATACAGCCTCCGAAGAAGATTGTGTTAAATTAAAACATTCGCCAAGTCCCTGGTCATCACAACAATCACGTTCAGCTAACGATGTTGTCAATAGTAGCTACTATATAGATATAAACGATGATTCAACGGTTGTCAATATCAACGGTAGTGGCAGTAATAGTCATAACAATAGTAATAGTAATTATTATATCCATGGCAACACTGATATTAATATTAGTAGTAAGCAGTTGAAGAAATGCATTAAACAAATAAGATCAGATTCATTAGACGTTATTTCCCCACCACCAATAACTCCTCCGTCACCTTACAGACCTTATGCAGCTAATGAGCCGCTGACGACTTTTAAATCATCACCATCAGCATCACCTACTTCGCCATCATCACCTTTATTACCACCACCTGTTGCAATACCAACGACTGCTAACACTACTCAATTTAACTTTTACAATTCTAACTCGACAATTAAAACTAATAAAAATGTCGAAATTTTAAAATATCCTTCTTCTCCTTTAACTAAATCAACTTTTGATATCAATAATAATCATAATAATAATAATAATGAAAAATCTTTTTCAAATGGTGGCAGTATACAAATCCCTCAAAAAGTTTCAACCTTAAAATTACTTTCTCCTCCACCTTTTTATAATAATAATGTTATTAGTAATAGTAGTAGTAATGAAAAATTTTCTGTTCCAACAACAAACATCACGCTATCTCCAGCACCAATGGCACCAAAGAAATCACCAAGAAGACCATCAATTAAAACTAAAACAAATGATAATAATTATATCGCAGAAATAAATGTTAAAGATGATGGTGTTAATAATAATAATAATAATAATAATAATAATAATAATAATAACAACAACAACGATAATTCATCAAATATAATAACAACAACAAGGAAACTTACCATCAAATTTCAGGATGATTTAAAATCAAAACTTCATCATAATCTTACTATTAACACTACTAACATTAATAACACCAATAAAAATAATATTAATAATGGTAATGGCAACAGCAATGATTTTAATCAAAATACAACATCATCAAATATTGGCGCTACAAAAATTGTTTCTAAAAAACAAAAAACTAAAGTACTTTCAAAACTAATAACTACCGCTACTACAAAGACTTTATCAAGGTCTACGTCAATTGAAGTTCCATCATCATCTAAATCTTCTTCTTCTTCTTCACCATCATCACCATCACCATCACCAATAATTAAATCATCCTCTAAATCATCATCACCTTCATCATCACCTTCACCATCATCATCGCCATCGCCAACAATTAAATCATCCTTTAAATCATCATCATCATCTAAATCAAAAAAACCACCATCATCTTCAAAATCACAACAAAAAATAAGTAATGTTAGCAAACCTTACCAACAATCTCCACTTAATCCGAAAAGATCGGATAAACCAGAATCATTAAAAACATCTCTTCCCCCTATCACTATAAGAGCTAGGTCGGGTAGTTCATCAAATGTTATAGAATCAAATAACATACGGAAAAGTGCAATAAATAGAAATCGATCAAATAGCACAAATACTTTGAATAATAGTAATAGTACTCTGATCGGCGGTGGTACGAGAAGGATACCCGGAAGTGCAAGTAGCACTAAAGGTAATACAGGTAGTAGAGGTGGTGATGGTGTTAAAGGAATAAATACATTGGGAAGAAGTAGATCAAGCAGTAACAGTAGTGCCAGTTCATCAGGAAGTTCAGGCAATGAGAGCAGCAGCAGCAGCAGCAGTAACAGCAGTTTTGGTGGTAGTGGGAACAATGATGGTAAAATCAGAAAAGGTATATTAAAAAAGAAGGTGATTAAGCCAACAAGAGATACAGTTCTTGGTATAATATAAAAACAATGATTTTAAAATTTTAAAAGACGATTTTATTTAGATTAATATTCTAAATCTTTTTCTTTTTTGTGATGAATAAATATTCTTGTAGATAATGTATTATTATTTAATTAATAAATATAAATTTGTAAATTATTTTCCTCTTAATACTTTTCTGCCAAGTAAAATGTTTTTTATTATATTGATTATTCCAATTCTATATTATCTATATATATCATTGCCTTTTTATTTGCTTTTTTTATAAGATGATTTTTCTGCAATTTCTTATTATTATTATTAAATATTTGATTTAATGATCAAAATCTTAAAAGTTTTATAACCACAGAAAACATTAAAAATGTTTTTAACTCGTCTATAACGTAACAATGCGACAAAAATTATAAAGCTACAAAATTCTGTGGTAGTGATGATAATAGCGATGTTGGTGATAATGACGATGACGATGGTTGTGATGTTGATAATGGTAGTCACGGCATTAATAATAGCAGCAGCCATTAACAACGGTGGTGGTGGTGCTATCGCAAGTACTGCTTCTCTCATATGCACTAGTACCTACATCAATGACACCCACAGGAAGGATTAATCAATGGAGTTTGAAGGTGTTGGTTGATGAAAAGACATATAATGGAGTTACTAAATAATAACTTTTTTCTAGGTGGCGCTTCTCGTTAAAAAGTTAAAGTACAGTTGAATTTTGCCAACGCTACATTCAGCGAATTCATTTCTTTGTTGTAGTGTAGTTATATCTGTCGGATAATATCCAACGAGTATCCGATTATTCACATAGTAATAGGAATTTTTTATCTTACGGATAATCACCGATGATATTATACCAAGGAAAATAAAGTTACGGCGAATTTTAAAACAGACCATTTGTCTACTATTACTATTGAAATTCAAAAGACAAACTGGCGCGTTTATTTGACTGTAGAACAATTTTTACTTAGCATGGTAGGTATGCAATATTTATTTATGTAGCGTAAAAAACAACGCGTCATGTTCGAGCAGTAAGCATAAAGAACTTAGTACGTATGCGAGGCTTGTTTTTTTTTAAATATATTAATAGGCAAAATTATACGGATATCCATATTAGTAGTATACTACCCAATTATCCGGCCAATTGTCCTAACCCTTTACCTGTAAATTATTATTCCTCCCCCACCATGCTTTACCGTTGGTGCCGGATTTTTAATATTAAAACGCGTCCCCTTTTCACGCCGAATTCATATTGGCTTATCTAGAGGTTAGAATCGACTAAAATAGTCGACTAACTTTTTTTTTAAACAACTAATAGTCGACTAATACTAATTATTATTATTGTCTGGCCAAATTATAAATGATAACGTTTTTTGTGGTACAAAAAAATTTAAAAATAAAATAATGGAAAATAATAAAAATAAATATGCAGAGTATCAATA